ATATATATATATATATATATATATATATATATATATATATATATATATATATATATATATATATATAATAAGAAATAATCAAATTTGTCCTTATAATTTCTAATTTATCTTTAAGTTATCGTCAGTTTCGAATGGTCCTACTCGTTTTCCCATCATACTTTCAACCGTTTCACTGTTTAAATCTCTCAGGGTACGTTTCTGCAGCTTTCCCTATTATTTTAGATTTTTTCTTTGTATTATTTGTATTTCATTTTTTACTGCCTTTACTGAACTCCTGTGTTTGGACCAGGTAATGGTGGCTGTGAGACTGTTGTCTTGTCTTTCATTGTAAAATGTTTGCTTTGTTTGCGTTTAGAGATTTTGGTGTTTTGTTTTCATATTATTTAGAGTTAAACTGGTTTAACTCCATGTGGTGCTGTGTAGTTTAACATTTTTTTCTCCCTAAAAAAAATGTTTGCACATCTTTCTTCTATTATAGAAGCCAATTTCTGCACTGTTAAAAAAAAAAAAAAAAAACTTGTATCTTATAGTTATGAGATAGTAGGACATTACTCTGATATTGCTGTCACATTATTAGACAGTATCTTATAATGAGATAATGTCTCATAATTATGGCTTAGTGTCTAAGATAGCTAATTCATATTATGAAATAATAGTATCCTCTGGGGCCTCAAGGAGCTCAGGGTTTCACCCAAAAGTCAGGATGTTTTGTGGGAAAATATGTGAAAGCCACGTAAACTTTCAGTTGATTAGAATAACAACAAACCTTACCTAAAAACACAGAATTCTGGATCCATTCATCTGTTCTCTAGATCTTATCATCAGTAGTTGAGGAGCATGACATGCACATAAACTATCAGAGGGTCTTTTCCATCCTCACTAGGAATAAAATGTTAGATCTATTTTCTTAGTAGTCAGATGTTGCTTCAGCTTAACTAGTGGCACATTGGCTCTAAAAAAGAACATAACCATAGATAAAGTCTGAAACTCTGTGTGGTAAGTATATTCTTCTAAAATGCTTCCTTTAACCAACTTGCTTTGCCGCTGACACCCCTGCATATCCCTAATGAAGGACAACGAGGGTATTTTATTCTATATTTTATTACAGTTTAAAATAAATGTCTCAATACTTTGGGGGAAAAAATCCAGCATATACATAAATAAATAAACACACCATGCAGCCTTCTCTTATACATGCAGATTTGAGGTGAATGAGATAAATTTTAATACAATACAAGGAATGAAACCATGAAGTCAAATTCAGATAATCATTCAAAAGATAAGAGGTTTATATATATGGAAAATAAAGACAAGGTCCAGAAGGTTTTTCTGGTTTGTTTGAAATTGATCTTCATTTATTAAAACTTTTGATAGTCATTGGTAGACATTCCAAAGACAGATTAGACCGCAGCGAACAGCTGACAGGCTCCTAATCTGACCAACAGTTAGAACTGAATCTTCTTATAAACTCTGATCTATGTGCTACCCTCTGCATGCACTGATGTTTAGTCGCCCAGCTGATCTCTAGTGTCTAAGGGACAAGAAGTGGGATATAAGGATGTTGGTTCGTGGTTCTGTCTGAATTTACTGAACATTTGGTGGAACTGAACAGGAAAATACAAGGGCAGTGTTAATCAGAGCATCATACACAGTTAAAAAAAGTAAACTCCAGTTATTTTTTCTTTGGTTTCTTTTGGTTACATGAGTCTCCAAGGCTGAAATCCAGAGATTATTGTGTTATTTTTTGTTTATTTGTTGTCTCTGCTGCAAATGGATTACCACTTGGAATCCTGAGGTTCTGAGTTCTATCATCTCTTAGCAAGATCCTTAACCCCCGATTGCTCCCTATGCACTGCACAATGGCAACCCACTGCTCCCATTAGGGGATGGGTTAAATGCAGAGGTAAATTTCTCCAATATGAGATCAATAAATTGCAATTATTATTAATTTATTTGAATTAGGCTTGGAGCATGTAAAACTCAGCTCAGGTCTGGTTTCTGAAGACTTCCTCCAAATATGTCTAATGTGGCTGTAGAGTTTAGCCATTAACTGATGAGACACTGGATTAGAGGTCCATGATGTTCTCCACCTGGTTCTGGGTGGTTATGTTATGATGGAAGAAATTAGAAACTGTAGATTTCGAAATAGAATAGCTAATGATCTTGGCATGATTACTTATCGTCTTTTATTGAGAGAATGCTCTTCAGGGTGAGCGGGGTGTTTCTGCAGATCAAGAGGTTGAAAATGTTTTGCACAGCGATCAACCCGCCGTACCTCTTGCCTCTCCGGAGGTGAAATGGTGCGCAGCTGCTGTGTTGACCTATTTTTGCTATGCGACATTCACTGAAGCCAGTTGCGTGGTGGGACCAGAGTTAGGAGAAGATTCTTAACCAGATATCCATTCTCAGATTGAACGGAAATAAGCACATATACATTTCAACATTGGTGCTAGGTTTTAAAAATAGTCCTTAAGTATCAAATATGTATTCTGTTACATATTATACTGTTCGTTATAAACTTGAATTTCATATTTCCACATTTTTTGCTTTCACCGTGAAGGCCACATCTTTTTTAAGCCAATCAGCTTTCAGCCTCACTGACGCTGCAGATGTAAACAAACAGAAGCGGAGCGGCCATTTCTGTGTCGGAGGAGTTTTTCTTCACTTCGAGCATTTGGAAGTTTTGCCGTCGAATAAATCAACGCGCAGGTTGTTTAAAGGTAAGAAAATGGACCACTGGGTGTTCTGACCCGGTTCTGGGTCTCTCTTTGTGGATTCACTGCCGTGTCTGGCTCTCAGTGAGTCAGCGGCCCTCACAGCCAGTCTGACTGCTCAGACCTGTTGGCTAACGGTCAAATCTCTCACAGAGACATGAAGGACACGAGCATCGGAACCACATCCACCTCTACCGGAAATGGAGAGGTGGTCCTCAGCAGCCAGTTCGGCTCAGAGGAGGACCCGTTTGCAGAGTACATGTGGATGGAGAATGAGGAGGAGTTCAACAGACAGGTGAGGAGCTGAGGACTAATCCTGACAGGGGCGGAGCTAGATGGGGGGCCAAGGGTGGCCATGGCCACCCTTAGCCAATCATTGGCCACCCCTACTATTTTATTCCCTCAAATACAGATGGTGGCAGCAGTAATACTCTCAAGTGGAATATTCCAAACATTTAAATGTTTTGTGGTTAATTATACAAATCAAAGTTGATAAATAGAGATTTCATGCTCTTTTCAGAACTAGATTTTGTTTTATATGGGGTAAAGAGAAAATGTGTCTCTGCAAGTCATCTGGGAGTCTTCAGTGAAATCATAGATAAATAACAATTTTTAAGAAAAACTTCAAATAATCAATTTATTAAGATATCAGTGCTTGTAAATATCAATTTTATTCAGAATGTTTATTGATACAATTGGGTAAGTAATGATGATGGAAAAGATTTACCCCTCAGATCTCAAAACTGAAAGAATTTTATCCACTATGCCTTTTATTTAAAAAGCACGGATGTTTGCAATGGTTGCATGTTTTAATAATCTCGCCAAACCCGCTAACAGGCATTTGTAGAACTTGTCCTGTTGTTTATCTATTGTTTCAGGCCCTCAGTGATGAGAGAAAGCAGTGAGTAACCAAAACATAGAAAGCTATTTGAAAACTAAAAAAAAAAAAGAAAAAAAAAAAGCCAAGTGAAGTATAATTTAAATGATTTAAAGTTGCTCTGGATGCAAACGGAGGGGGGGAAAGTGTGGCTTCCATTGACAAACAGAGGGGAATCGGATATGGCAGGTGGCTTTATAATAATGACAGAATAAACAATACCAACCAATACTAAATGAAAATTACAATTCTATTCGATGAATGGATATTATGAAATTGTTGCAGTTAATTTCTTACTAAACATGACATAACATTTTAATACAGGCTTCAATGCAGCCAATTGTCTTTAATGGGTATCAGCAGTTTCCAGCTGCCACAACCAGTTATTCCCCCCACCAGTTATCACATAGCTTCAACGTCTCCATTATTAAAGTCTCTGTAACCCTTTATCCAACGAGGCCAAAAATAGTGATTTGGAGATATTTTGCTATCATGGCTGTAAGAATGCCCCAAATCCGAGAGCTTTGCTTCTTTTTCCCAGCAGGACTTGAACACAGCTTTTTAACATCTGGTTGATGGCTGCTGCATTTTTTAATGGATTGTGCACAGTTTAAAAGAAGAACAAGAATAGATTGAATTTTCAAAGTTTTAAAGAAAATTAATCTGATTGTCAATTAAATTTGATTTGATATTTCATATATGAACCAATACATGTACTGAATAACGATAGCCTATCACTGAATACTATATACAGGGCAAAAATAATAGCTGAAAATATTATTGAAAATAGGACAAACAGCAGTACAAAGATTTAAAATTAATCACATATTGATTATAGACATGAATGATGGGAAATTTAAAATGTAAGTCTTTATGTTTGCAGAAAAATCTTTGTAAGAAATAACTTCAAATATTTTTGAGCATTCGGACAGATAACAGTGCTAGAAGTAATATAAATATTCCCAAGACAGTTCTGGATAGTGTTCATGAACTTTTGACAGTTCATCCTGATATATTTGATACATAAAGATCATGTATTGTGCTTTTTATATTAATATTGCTCTGGAAAACTTCAGGAAATTTTGTTGCTGTTTAGTCTCAAAACTTGACAGAATCTATTTTTTTTCTTATAACCCTTATATCAAGCTGTTCCCCTGTGCTGCTCGGGTGCAGCCCTGTTCTGATGATCAGATGTCCATCTGAACGCTCAACCTGGTCAGATACATGGCTGAACCCCAGTCCTGGTTGGAGGATCACTGCCTTAAAGAAAGTGTGGAAAAACTAGTCAGTACGTGTCGATCCCAGCTGAGGCCAGAAGGTGTTGTTCTGAGATTAACTTTAAAAAGACGTTTCAACAAGAAGCGCCTGTCAGTCACCTCCTCATTTGTTGGGATGTGTTGATTATAGAGATCTCATGTGCTACAGGAAGCCAACTCTCTACCTGAAGAGCCCAGAGGATGTCTGGGTCACTTCTCCCAGAGATACCGGCCCCCTGGTTGAAGATGAATTAAACTCGATAAATCTTTTTTGTAGCATCTCTTAGTAAAAATGGGGTAAAAAAAAAATCCTCCTTTAAAGGAGGGACTACAGGAAATGCTTGTTTTTAACAAGTTCACAAACTGATGCCTGACTTTTGAAACTTGGTTCTGCATCAGAACAACTGGATAAAAAAAGGAAAAGTCCAACAGTGTAGGTCAATCGGATCTGATGGACTGCTTTCCTGTGCTTCAGCTTTAGCTGGTTTTTCTATCTTCCTGCAGGTGGAGGAGGAGCTTTGGGAGGAGGAGTTCATCGATCTCTGCTTCCAGGAGATGCTGGATGAGGAGGAACAGTGGGAGTGGTTCATCCCATCCAGAGACCTCCCACCTGGAGGTGTAGCTCAGTTGCAGGAGCAGCTCAGCCTCCTTGTTCTGGACCAAGACCTTCATGCTGATGCCTCGGACCTGGAAGTGGTGGTAAGTTGACCCAATCAGGAGTCAGGATAACCGTGTCTGCTTCAGGGTCAGCTTCCTGTCCCTGACTGCTGCTTCTCCTCTTCGTCCTGCAGGTGAGGAGCAGCCTGAACCCAAATGCCAAGGAGTTCACTCCAGGTATCCAGAAGCACAGCCTGTGACCCCCCACCTAGCTCTGCCCCCTCCTCTCCAGTCTGTCTGTGGCATCATCTAGAGGATGTCTGCTGTCCCTTCAGCCCCACGTGGTGCCAAAGTTCTGCTGTCGCCTCGCATTTGTTTTAACAAAGCTTACGTCTGCTGCCTCACCTGGGTGGACACCTGGGTTTACATCTTTGTGTCTGCTTTGTGTGTCTGAGGAGACTCTCTGAATGTAAACCAGCCTCTTCTTGTTTATCTCATCTCTGTGGGATTTATTGGTTTGTGTCCTATGAACCCTTAGTCTACCTTTAGATCCAAAACCTCAGAAACAGTAATGGTCCCTAGCGAGCTTTCCTACACTTAGTCACTCTTCTTCAGACCAGTCTGGTCTTGTTTTCTTCACGCTGATTGGGTTTGATTCACTCTGGTCTTATCGGAATCCACTCTGATCTGTTTGAACTAGTTCTCTGTTCGGTTCTGTCAATGTGACGGTTTCTCTCAGTTTCCCCAGAATCCTCAGTGTCTGTGACTCTGCTGCTTTATTTCCCGCCGTCTTTGAACTTTTTTCTAAACGCACACAATGTACTGTATAAAAAGAAAAAGATGTAAAAAAGAACAAAAAAATATATTTTTTCTTAAAGTAGTAAAAAAAATAAATGTTTATTGAACAAAACTGTCTCAAGCTGGTTTTATCGGGTTTGTTTTCCTCAGCTGTTTGGGTCTGATTCTGTCGAAAAGCTTCCATCGTACAACTTTTCCAACACTTCTAAATTTAACAGCTGAATCCCCTCAGTATGTTATCCAGCTACCAGGACCTGGTATAAAGCTAATCATTTGATCCGGTTTATTGATGAAGGGATGCATCGACCACAGTTTGAAAGGGCATTGGGCATCCCTGTGATAGAGATGAATTTCTACCAACCTCAAAGTTTCCAAACACAAATATTCAGTCCTACAGAATGCGTTACAAAATCCTGTTAACACCAGTTCAGAGCTTGCCCAACCTTCACACTGGCATCAGGTAGATTTGGATGTATAAAACAGTCCAATGAATGAATAAATATATGCACCATGCATGCCTCAGACCACTAGGTGGCGTGGTTTGTCCAGGTTCAAGTTTAAGAACAGCTACTAAATAGCAAATTTCTGAAAATTATGTAGAAAAAGTGTACTAGCAAAATGTGTAATTTATTTGCCTCTTTAATATATGGTGCCTTAATATGAAAGGTGTCATTCATGGTGAGGAAAAAAAAGAATAAGTGAAGAGAGAATAAGTTTTAGTTCAAAATCCCCTGATATGTTTATTTATTGAAAAGCTGAAATGAAGAAAATTTGGATTGAAAATCTGATTTAATTATTCAGTCAGGAGTTTCTTTATCAAGAAACGTAGTTTTGTCATCAATTAAAATTGTTTCTAACTATAAGTCATTTATTTGTGTTAAAGGAGAAAGTGATCTATGTGTAGCTTTCAGTGGTGTCCAGCAGATGGCGGTGTTGCCTGGGATTTTTCTCCCTGTCTATTGTCGTTGAACGATGGAGCCTAGTTTTTATCTGCAATTATTCAATTCAATTAGGGTTATTTAAAACCAAATCACAACACATGTCATCTCAAGGCACTTTACAAAGACAATTCAACCAGATCATACAGTTGGGTTTGCTTCAAAGTTTTCTATCTAAGGAAAACCAGCTGGTTGCATTGACTTAAAGGCAATCCCTTACACCAAGCATGCTTGTAGCGACAGTGCAGAGGAAAAGCTCCCTTTGAACAGGAAGAAACCTCCAGCAGAACCAGGCTCAGTGTGAGCAGTTATCTGCTGAGGCTGACTGGGGTGTTGCTAATCCTCAAAGTTTCTGGGCATGTGAAAATTTAAAGAACAGAGGGAGTTGCTTCACTTATGCTCACATAATTGTTGCTGATCATTGGGTAACGATCCATGTCACCCAGTTGCCTGGCTTCTAAGGACCTGTTGGAGGATAGCTATGTGGACGTGTCCCTGATCTCAGTGGCTTTGGACAGTTAACAAGTGGGCTTACTCTTAACTCCTGGATGTTCAACAGCCCGAAGCTGGGACTCTAGAGGCTGTGAATGTCCACCCTGATCCCTATATAGGGCACTATATACTGGTTATGTCATTTTTTATGACTGTCCTAACGCCTAGTGGATAAAAAAGTTGTGGAGTCGACATTTCCCGCAATGCACCTTAAAAAGTAGTCATCGATGGTCACTAGATGAGCAAATATATCCCAGAACTCTCAGCAGGATGTATCCTCGCAAATCATTATGGGATTTGTTGTGGTGGCAAAAAAAGAGCAAAGATGGAGCATGCACAGTGCAGGAAGGCAGAGTTTTGTAACCAACAGGAAGCGAAAAGTACCGATCATCTTTCCGAATGGTCAGTTAAGTCAGCTAATGATAAAGTCCACTATATAGTCCCCTATATATGGGAGGGACGGGGGGTGGGGGGTGGTAGGACTCAGCTCAGACGTAAACAACCTGAGCAGCAACACAGAACACAGGTCAGCAGTCAAAACAGAAAGTGAGCTAGATACATCTCACTAAAAGCAGCACTCTCTAGTGACCCAATGTGTGTTCAGATCTTTGGCCTCCCCTAGAAGCACAGGAGCTTCTGGCTGAGCAGCATAAAGCTATAGAAGTTGTCAGCGCGGGACTACAGCTGCAACCAGCACTGATGCATCGGCTACTATCAGCCCAACGGGGGAGACTTCTGCAAGCATCAGACTTCTATTAGATGTCTTTTGCTGTCATTTGGAATTTGATTTGAATTTTTTTAAGGAATCTGATTAGTTTGAGGTACAGTTTCAACTCCTAGAATCATCAAGGTTTTAGGCAGCTTATATGGAGGAGCAGGAGAGTCACTGATAGAAAAAAACTAACATTCCAGCTTTAACATTAAATCATACAATTAGAAAATCCAAATTAGATATTTTAAATAGAATTATCAAAGAGAAATTGTACATTTTATCTATTAATTCATTATTATTTCTAAATCCCAATTTTAAATGGAGATTTAAAAACCACAAATCTGATTATTGTTTCTTTTTAACCTTGCCTTCTAAAATCCTTTTTGCAGTTGTATTTTCTTCTTACTTTACCCTCTCCATTTACCTTTTTTGTGATGCTTCATTGGTCATTTTGTGAGCCAAGTGCGGCAGTCTAACCAATAAGAGAGCTGGTTACATTTGAGGAGCAACTGTGATTGGTTTAAATGGCTTTCAGTGTGCTCAGGAAGCAGAAAGAATTTACAATTCCTCTTTAGTAATTCCATGCTAATGTGCAATTACAAAACACTTTTTAAATTGGATTTCTAATTGTATGTCTCAAATGTTTCATTTGAAATGGCTGTTTTTCTTTTTCAGGGTCTCACTTGGTCCCTCAGAGCCTTTTACTGAAACCCTGACTTTTTGTTCTGCTGCTTAACAGACCACTGGAGAAGTTTCTTCTTTTTTGCCACTTGTGCTCATAGTAAATTGTTTCTGTATAAACAAACTGAATGTTTCTGAACTTTCAGCTCAGAAGCAACTCAACTGCTTTTTCCTTTCAAAGGAAAATTAACATATCTGGTCTATTATAAATACTAGAGTATTTTTTTCCAGTATGAGGTTGAGTGAAGGCATCACATCAAATAGTTACATCCAGAGAGATTTGCAAGAAACTTGCATTTCTCATTACAGGCGTGAATCAAGCCATCTGCCACCAATAGGGGGCAGGATATTGACAGACCTCTAGAGCTGATCAGATATTCAAATTAATCTATGAGGAACTCATGGAAAAGGTCTCTCTTTGTTAGCTGCAGGGCCATATTTCAGATGCAGCCTCCTTTGTAGGCCGACAGCTTCAACCCAGAGTTCCAGCCTTGCCTGCAGATGAGGGGGGTGGAGCCTCAGCGGCTCCACAGGTCACACCTTCATTCAGAGCTGTGATTGGTCAGAGTTAGATGTTGGAAAATTTGCTGCAGTTACAGATGTCAGCAAAGAAACTGCAGGTCATGACCCTAGTGTCCTGACCCCCTCCTCACTGCATCTCATCATCACCTTCAACTCCACCATGATCATTGCCAGACTCAGAGGCTGGGCGTCTCTTGGCTAGGTGTTCTGCACACCCCTCTGAGGACAGTAGGAGGACTTAATGCATCTTTTCATCAAAATCATTCAGAGGCCTTAAGTTGCCCTGAGTTCAGAATGTTACAAATCTCTGGTAGGACCTTCAGAGGTTTGATTCAGGTCTTATAAAAGAAAGTCTCAGGTATATTCTTGACTCCAATGCTGTTAATACCAAGTTGGTTTCTGTGAATCGATGTTCCTGAAGATGAGGTATAATCAACTGACTGAGCCACTCAGAAACATCCATGGAGAGCATTTAGGCTCTTCGGATGTGGCTGCAGGTGACTGCACGCTGTAGGTGGGGCCACTATATATTTTTGACCAGAGTCTTTGAAAATTTGAGAATATGAGCTGAGGTGTGCTTGTTATCATCTTCAGCAGATTATTCAAAGACATAAAACTACTCATTTGCATCATGGAAAATTACTCTTTCTGAAGGGCTTTGCTGTCCTGTAGTAGAAATGTACCAATCAAGTTTTTTCTAATCCAATCCCAATCCCCAACAACTTGGCTGGAGGAGCACACCAGCCGATATCGATCTGATAGTCCAGTTGAATGAATGAACCATATACCCTGCCATTTGATTGAGGGAATCAGGCTCCAAAAAAAGATTGTGTAGAAAAAAGTAAATAAAAATACCAAAGATATAAATGATTACTAGCTGTTTCAGTGTTGCAGACATAGAATTGGAATGACTATTATGCTTTAATTGTATTTCAGTGTAATATATTAAAAAAGAAATGTATCCTAATACTGGATTGGTGTCTTTTATCTAATATCAAAACCAGCCAGTTTGTCTATAATTGAAACGATATCTGATCTGATACAAGCTGGCAGATTTATTTCTAATAAGGATGTACACTGCTGCAGACCACCTCCTTGAAACCACATCTTAACTTGGTGAAGAAGTTTCAGAGCCCGCATGATTCCAAAGGCTATTGTCATGATTTATTTAAGGACCTGACCCAAAATGCAGAGAACCACTCAGAGAGCAAGGCAAAGGTTTAAACAGGTTTATTGTGGTAAGGGTTGAGGGGTTGGATCTGGTACTCAGAGGGCTGGTGAACCGAAACTGGAAGGGAGGAGGGAAGTTCACAGAGGTGAGTTCATGTACCGTGGGAATCTTGGATGCCATAAGGATAATTCTAGTGAGGGAGTCACGTTTGGGGGGGTTCTTCTCTTGCTTCAAATCCAGTCTGTGTGGGTTGACCTAGTGAAGAGGGGACTCGTTTCAGAGTGGACAGGTAGACCTTCGTTGGACCCAGAGGAGTATGAGAGCGGACTGCCACTTAGAATCCCGACGGAACTTGAACCGCACATGTGGAGGTTTTTACCCTGCTCAGCGTGAACATAGATCATCCTTCCAGGGGGGAGAAGGCCAAAACTCCAGTATGCAGGAAGACTTCCTGCTGAAAGGCAAAGACAGAAACAAGGTTAAGCTCAGCGAAAACAAAGACTCAGTTAGACTCAGCAAAACTCAGCTTGGCTAGAGTACCCAA